AAGTATTTCTCTTAGAGTAGGACATTTAACAATTACTGCGGAGGCTGAGTATTATGTAAAGAATTGTGCAGATCGAGGAGAATGTCAGCATAATTCTTGAAATCATACGAAAGCCGAATTCATTAAGTGTTTCATTATTTGTTCAAAATATTTCCAAGCTGTTAACAAGGTTACCTTCTCGTAGACTTTCTTCAATACTTTGGCCTATTTTTCGGCATGGTTTCAGAATATAAACAGATGTGTTTTCTAGCAGGTAGTCCTCAAGAAGTAGATAACATCCATGGAGCAATATGTTTTGCGTATTTCTGCATTTCTTCCGTTCAGTTTTAGTCGGCTATTTCGTCTTCGGATAGCCGTGAACGTCATTTTTTTTTTCAGTTCCCTATTGCACAAGCAGGCTCGTTTCAACGCAATTATACCATCGAATTGATGGTATATGTAATATCGCTTGCATCTTCAAAATTTGGTCAGCGCCTGCTGGTTAAGAAGAGTAAGCTGGGGGATTTGAGCCAATCAGAAACGACAACATGTTTTGAATAAAAATAAAAATTTTCAGGTGACCGTCTCTGGTATGGTCTTGTCTGTCAAAGAAGTGCTTGTTTTCTCAGGTCAGTTAACTGATAGTGAGTACCTGACATAAAGTACTTGTGCACTTTTTCTTCGTCTTCTCCAAACAGGTTTTTAGCCTCTCGCCTGAGAATATGTTGAATCTGCCTAAATATTCCATGCCATTCCTCAAGTGCAAGTTGTCGTTTCCCGACGTCATGACAGAGGTAGTCTGGAATACGGAAACTGACAGGCTGCAATACATAGGTAGCAGGTATTTCGTTTAGATCACATTTATACCATGTTCGTAACAGGGTCTTTTCGTCCTGGTCTGTTATATTACTGAAAATTTCTTCAAACTCAGCCGAAGCGATCTTGGAAGGAAGAGGACGAAACCCGTACTTCTGTCCAAGAAATGTCTGCAAGAGTTGAATAGAATCATATGTTAATAAACTGACTCCGCCTGTTAAGCCAAAATCCCTCACACAGAACCAAGAATATAATACAAGGAGTATTACCATGAAATTAGGGCCATTTGAAAGTTCTTGGCAGGCTTTGAGTTCCTTTAAACAGAGCTCCAATGTTGAGTGGTCATCGGTGGATTCATCTCGCACACCCCAGCGCATATCAACCACCTGAAAAGTGAACATTGTGGAATAACTGAGTTCAGAGTAATCGGTGATTATGTAATTACTCAAATACTCAGAACGGTTTGAGGTGGGTTAATAATAGAGTTATCTCACAAGTGGAGCCTCGTCAATGTGACGTCCTTTGTGACGGTGGTTGCTAAAGCCAGGTTAACTGTCTGTTTGAGAAAACAATTCTTAGATGTTGTTTTACAGTTAACTGTATTTGGCTCAAATGAAAGGGCTGTTTAACAAGCTTACCTGAAATTCGTATCCTTTCTCTTGTGCAAATGTCTTTAGCCGTGGGTAGATCCTTTCCATCAAGGCGTTTCTCTCAGCAGCCATATCTAAGGAGAAAAATTTAGAGAATGTAAGGGAATTGCCAGCTTATCTGAGCTTGCGGGACAGACGAAAAACCCATCTCCCGACAGTCTGAATCCTCTTACTTACGATACGCTAGCAAACCGCTGTTGTCTTTTATACCTGTAAATGTAGAGCTGGTGAACACGCGAATTATCTTGGCCTTAGCAGTCAAACTCTGCTCCAGGTCTCCGCACATGACTTTCTTGTACCTCTCGGCGAGTTCTGGGAACTGTCTTAAACTTGTTCTGGAAGCTGCCGAGGAAAGTGTAGATTCCCGGCCAGAATGCTCGTCAAATAGAACAGAGCCTGGTGACAAAAAGGATCGCTCAAGGGGCCTGGAGATGGCAGAGTCATCTGTTCTGTTGGCGAGAAAACACTATTACTGGGCGCTAAACAGCTAGATATACTGCAGTCAACATAGAACTCCAGATCCATTTAATAGAACTCTTATATTGACGTTTCAGAACCAGAAGAAGGAAATTAAACCTGATCATGTAAAGAAGTTAACAAATTAAAAGAATGTTGAATATTGATCTATCCACTAACTGCTTTAAAATCAGAAACGGTTACACAGATAAGTAGTGTGGACCACTGCGTTTTTGCTGGTCCCTTTTTTTGTTTCTTTGTTTTTTGTTTTTACTCTCTGGATGGCTGTGTTCTCCTTGACCTAAAGCATACACTGTTCAAAACCATTTTGAAGGCAGAGAAACAAAACCGAAGACTAAGAGAAATAGTCGTTCTACCCTGCGGGAGAATCTTACCAATTACCTTTGTATATAGGGCAGCTGGGTTCGATGATCGAGTCTTGGAACTTCAGTTAAAAATTCGTTAAGAGGAAATGACAAGCCGAATATTTTGTAAAGAAACTAAAACTCTGAAAACAAATTCTACAGCAAAATATAGTGTCTTGTGAGCTTTGAATGATTACACTTTGAATTCAAACCAACCATACAAACCAAGTCATTTTAGTTTTACCGGTGACTGTAAAAAAAGAGGTTTTCAAAATTTGGCGCTCAGTAATTAAACTCACCTGGTTATGGTTCCTGAACCGTGTCTGCCTGTAATCTGTTTTAGCGATTTTGTACATGCTGCTCCCATCCTTAGGTTTTGCTAAAGTGGTATTCAGTGTGCCGGTTTTCCTGGGTTAGAGTGAGGGGAGATAGCAAAATGTTATAATTTTTTTTACGCTTTCAATGGCTATTACTAAAACAATTTTCTCTACGTTGTATTTGTAATTTTGAGAACAATTTAAAAATTGTCATAAATTTAAAATTCAATTACAACAGTCGTTACAATATCTATTGACCAAAAATCATGCCGCAGTTCACGCGCATGAAAAACATTTCATATTTTGTACGTATAACAGTTTGAATGCGACAGCGCTCCAATATTTACACCAATGATTGCGTTCACTTAGAATTCTTTAATCTTCAGACCAGAAACTCCTGTAATATTTAACGCTTTAAATAATCACAGTTTATTTGTTTCATAAGTGATCTGCCACAGCTTTGCAATTCGTTCAATGTGCTGTTATAAGAGAGAGTGAGATTTATTTCGTCAGGATATGTTCTGAGTCTTTTGGTGTGTAAACGCAAACAAGTTCATACATTTAAAGAACCATACTTGTCCATCGCTAGCTCATCGTGCGAGTCCATCTATTCTGGAGACTTATCAGAGGTTTTCGATCGTTTACTTGTACGTGTCACAATGACGTGTGAATGGAACAACCTTGTGGTAGATTTTTGTGAGCTACTGAAATCAGTTACGTAAAGCGGAGCAAACTTGAACAATTTAAATGGTTTTAGTACACATCAACACAATAACCAAATTACGGAAGATGTCAAAAATAAATTGCTGTGCAGTGCCAGTGTGACGGAATGACCGACGGACGACTGAGGAAAGTTTATAGGCCTGTAAACCGCGTGCCACTATAAGTTACATAAAGCGATTACCGCTGTAGAACAACATGAAACAACTTGGGAAATGCGCCGACTGACGTTCTAAGTACTACAAAAGCCTCGTTCTAGCTTGATTATTTGATTAGACATGCATTTATCTCCATTCCAATTTACTCAACGACTATGCGTTCTTGACAACGATCTTCACAGCAAAAAGTGTGGTGCTGTATATGACCCTTATTACAATAACACAAGACCTTATAAAGATCAGTTTCAGGTAATTCGTTACTGATTCAATCGAAGACTGGATTTTGACTATCAAACATTTAAATCGAAATGTAAATACCCGTCAGCCACTAAAAAGCAAATAATCAGACATGTCAATCAAACAATAAAAGTATTATTTTCGAAATTTTCGAACGCTAAAATCTTACCACATGGCATCATGCGATATCCTTTATAACGGAGGTTTACGTCCTTCCTTAATTTTCTTCCGATCAAGCACAATGCCTCCCACTCTCGCGTGATACATAACAAAGCAAAGAACACCGAAGTGACTCAGTGCTTTATGCTAATATTTGGCAACTCCGTGTGCAAGGGCTTTGTTGCTTGGCAATATCAAGTGTTTACAAAGGGCACTGTAGGTATTTGACACAAAAGGTAGAATAAATTACATCCGAAATTAATGGCCAGAATTCAAGTTAATTGAGGT